CTCACTCCTTCACTCACACACTCACTCCTTCACTCACTCACTCACTCACTCACTCACCCACTCACTCCTTCACTCACTCACTCCTTCACTCACCCACTCACTCACTCCTTCACTCACCCACTCACTCACTCACTCACTCACTCACTCAGGACAGTCCTGCCTGGGTTCAAGTGTGGATTCGATTAACCTGAAGTCCGACCTTCACGGGTGTACTTGAGGGGAGCAATGGGTGTCATCGTTCCAGTTAGCAAACTATATAATAACAATATCGTCAGTTTCGTCAGTGATACACAAAGGCTTATGTTGTTTTATAGCAGATTAATGGATTACATGAAAACCACACAGATGATATTGGCATTCTGCACAATACACACTAACCCGGCATCTGTGCGGTCCCAGCTGTAAACCTAAAACACTTGGGTGTCTCAACAAAGGCACATCGAACTCAGTTCCCTTCAAACCAGTTACAGAAAAGCAACAAACGAAAATAACAACCTAAGAATGCGAAATTGTGTTTTGAAAATTGATATGAACGGAGGAAGTATTGAATTTATGGTTCGGGAAGTCCAGTACTCATTATTTTACCATTTATTGATCCTGAAACGGCAAAGACTTGTTTCACAGCACCAGTGTTTACTACCAGATGGTGCAGAAGTATAACGGTAAAAGTTAAACTGGTTCAAGCGTTTACGCACTAAAGCATTGCCTAAAACGCCAGACCTTCTTTTGACTAATAACGACGTCGACGCAGGGTCAGAATGAATAAATATATTTTTAACGAGGCATTTTATTACATTTTACCCTTGCGTCCAGTGTTTCCGAGTTGTTGTGATGTTCAATTCAATGTGTGAATTCACAAACGTGTTGGGGTGGCAAGCAGCAATTTGATCTACGAAAGGCCACACATAGTCGAAGCACTGTCGGTGCGCAGCAAAAGTGATGGGTGAAAATATGAGAATATAACTAGCTTCGCAGCACTGCTCTAGTGCGTGGAACCCCTTGGGCGTATACCTTTGTTGCAAGTGACATCAGTAATATTAATGTAAGGCAGCTGACTTGTTTACAGAACGCACAAAAGCGACTAGTTTATATTTTTTCTGACGATGACTGCGCAGAAGGAGTTGAATGGAAAACACTTCGAAAGTCAAGATGGAGCTGTTCGCTTGTTTGTTGTTTAACGTCGCACTCATGCATATTCCAGCTATAGGACGGCGGCCTGTAAATAATAAAGTTAAAAAACTAAACCTGTAATGCCGTATTTATGAACGGCTACGTATAATTGAGGCCATGCTTGTTAACGGTCTCTCTGTATGGATGTTTTCAGACTTGCATTGTGTTGTCAGGTTCATGGTTAGACAGATACATACCCAGTAGTTGGTACTATCAGCCACAGACCACAACGCCCAGTTCGGTGAGACAGTCATTGAGGCCACTCATCGTTACGGCAAGCGCACCGTCTTCCATTATTCGCTTGTATTGTTTGTTTGTTGTTTAACGCAAGACTCACAATATTCCAGTTATAATCGGGTCTTGACCAGACAATCCAGTGATTGACATCATGAGCATCGATCCACGCATTTGGAATACGATGACATGCTTCAATCTAGTCAGCGAGCCTGACCAACCGATCTCGTTAGTCGCCTTTTCCGGCAAGCAAGGGTTGCTGAAGACCTTTTTTACCACGAATCTTCACGGATGTGGGGCCACGGGTGGCCTAGTCGTCTAAGGCGCCGCAATTCGCTGTGCAGAGTTGCGTCCCTAAAGAACGCCAGAGATCTATGATTGTGGGCTCGAATCCCGTTTCGCCCCGATTATGTTCATAGGTTTGTCAGCATCATACCCGTGCTCGTGGGTTTCACCGAAGTGGTAAACGTCTGAGACCTGCATCACTTCGGGCTTTCCTCCCACATTAAGTTGACACGCCGTGATATAACTGGAATACTGTTAAAAGCGGCGTTAAACTCACTCACTCACTCACTCACTCACTCACGGATGTGGTCTTCTATTATAAACCCGGTTGTAAGAGAGTAAGTTTAAATTAGTGATGCAGGAACGTGCATATTTCTTGGAACTAAGTGTACACATGCTGCCTAATTAACTAAAACAGTGAGTGAGTATGGTATTACGCAGCTTTTACCAATATTCCAGTAATACCATGGCGGGGGACACCAGAAATGGTCTTCCCATTTTGACCCAAGTGGGGAATTGAACGCGGGTCTTCGGCTTGACGTGCGAACGCTGTAACAACTATGCCACACCATCGCCCCGCCTAACTAAAAGAACAAAAGTGACCACTGTTTTTGAATCAATGAGAATCAAAATGAACTGTGTTGACGTGAAAACAGCACAGCTTGCTATGGCAGCAATGTGTATCTTAGAAGGCGTCACCTGGAAAAATTCAATAAAATCGGTAAAAGGTCAGTAGTTTGTATAAAGCAATATTGAACACACAGAGTTTCGGGCGTGCCCAAGGGACGCAACTCTGTACAGCGGATTGTGGCGCCAAACACAGCGAATTGTGTCGACCATCCCCGGAGGTGTGTGGTATCATGTACACTGTGTTCGAGCACCACGCATGGTACATCTACCATGCACCCGGAAGGACTGGTTGACAACGAATGTATATTACCCCCATAATTTTCGCCCGTTTATCTTAAACGTCTTCACCAGTATGGGTAGAGAACATTTTCACGGACATCTTGACAATAAGTGAAATCGGATATTAACGTGGCACTCAATTATAATCCGTATTTAAATCGATTAAGTTATCGAATCTTGACCAGACACGAGAGTGACTTATGTCATGTCACGCTGGGACACCGAGCCAGACCATCAGATCAATTATGAGATTCTATCGCCGGAGACCTATTGGAACTTGACTAGGACTGATCCCCCACTGGGTTGGATTATAGTTGGTGAGGTGAAATAGGGTTTAACGTCGCGTCCAAGAATATTGCACTTATGTAGCGACGTGCATGCACGCGTGTGTGCGTAGCTGCTTGTGCTAGTCCGGACCGATGCCGATTCATAGTCCTAGCACACTGGGATACCATGCCGCAGTTTAACACGACTATCCCACTCAGATACAGAATACTGACTCCGCGGTCAGGCCTTGTTTTAGCCCCTTAAAGACGAGCTCCAGACAGGGTAACAACAAGTCACATCTTGTAACGTCTTTTGGTATGACGCGGCCGGAGATCGAACCCCGGGACTTCCGCTATCTGGGCGTACGCTCTACCACTAGACCATGGAGGCGGTCGTATTATCGGAAATTAGTTCAAGTGTATGGTATACATTACGAAGGGTAGCATACACTTGATGAAACATAATGCATACCATATAATGCACAGTTTGAAATGCATAGTTCTTGATGTATTTGTATGGTATCCGTGGTATATAAACATGGTATACAATGTATGACATATATGAAAAATTAGTGCGTTGTACAGTTTACATTTGGATGGTTGTACGCTTAAGACGTGAATAACAATAAAGATCGTTCTAGTTTCAAGAAAATCAGTAAATACGCTATCCCATCACTGGATTGTCTGGTCCATCACTTGATTGTCTGGTCACGACGTGATTGGCAGGAGTACTCCTGTGTGGTGTTAGGCAACAAACAAGCACTTCCTTTTTTATGCAAATTGTGAAATTATGATTTTCTTTGTGATCCATTCATATCACTGCGATTTTATCTTTTACATCCAAAATATATCTAGGCGGATAATCGAGACTGCTTATTTACTGGTGTTGGAGTTTTATATTGTAACAGCTTGTATATAATGCATGGTGACCAAGTGACGCATAAACACGAACTGCCTATTATCTAACGCACAGGACAATAAAAATTTAATAAAATATATTGCATACTACAGTGAACATGGTGTATGGTACACGATACATATCATGTAATAAAAGCATAACATGCACGGTGCAAACCGAATGATATATAGGGCGTAGGTGTATATAAAATCACACCAAAATGTCGAAAACTGATTCCATGGAAAGTGTGTATGTTCAAGTGATGTTATTCTCTGGTACTGGAACAGACAGCGGAAATTCTATGCCAAAGAACGAGATGTTTGTGAACGGCTAAGAGTTGTGTTACGCATCGCGCATGTTTGGTCTGTTTAAAAAACAAACTGAGACTGACTTGAGGAGGCAGAGCACTGCATCAGCATCTTCATCTTACGGAATGACCTTTTCTTTAGTATGTGTGCGATATCTCCTCACTTTCAACTGTATTGTTCGGTAGTTTCATGATGTACGCGTTGTGTCAAGGGCTCCATTTCCTTATTGCGTAGTTCCAGCGTCGAGGATGGAGAACAAGTCTTAGACAATATGATTAATACCTCGATAAGATGATTGAAATAAATATAAATTATCACCGACTTGTAATGTTCGTGGTGAGACAGCTCGATGGGAAACGTTGTCGTGACGTCGCCTTTCTTGTCACCTAAATACCATCTATTAGATTAGATTAGTACAGTTTTAATTATTTTTAATCTATAATGACTCAAAGCAAGATGGCTGACAATGACTATGTTGCAATGCATCTGCATCAGATATATGCTCTTGCATCCGCACGCGGTTATTTAAGTTAATTACTGTTATCAGCTCGGCATGAGACCTCAACGTAGCTCATCACTGTCCACAGCGGGATATGCTGTCGGCTTCACTGTGCTAGCGATGCATTTGCCAACAGCTTGTCGTGATGTCTGTCAAAAATACCATTGTGTCGGCGTGTGTGAAATTGTGTGATTTGTAATTGATGTGTCAGGAGGCTCGGTTAGAGACAGTCCTTTTCACATGTTCAGACGCGTTCATGAACATTGTGAGATACCACATCACGGAGGATGTACTTAATTGTGACATGACATCCTTGCTTGTTTGTTACATGGTGATGATTTATTCTTCTAACAGTGCAATTAAGTGACACTGGTAAATTAACCAGACATCAGCCGTCCACTAAATGTCTTGTAAGCAACTCAACAAGATATATGCAAAGAACAAGAAGAGCAGCTCCACAGCATATATGTACCAGAATAGCAACGCCAGAACATCTATGCACTGAACCAGAACAGCAACACCAGAACACCTATGTACCAGAGCCAGAACAGCAACACCAGAACACCTATGTACCAGAGCCAGAACAGCAACACCAGAACATCTACGTACCAGAACAGCAACACCAGAACATCTATGTACCAGAACAGCAACACCAGAACACCTATGTACCAGAACCAGAACAGCAACACCAGAACATCTACGTACCAGAACAGCAACACCAGAACATCTATGTACCAGATCCAGAACAGCAACTCCAGAACATATATGCACCAGACCAGCAACTCCAGAACATATATGCACAGAACCAGAAGAGGAACACCAGAACACCTATCAACCAGAGCAGCAACATCAGAACACCTATGTACCAGAACAGCAGCACCAGAACACCTATGTACCAAAAGAGCCACACCAGAACACCTATGTACCAGAACAGCAACACCAGAACACCTATGTACCAGAAGAGCCACACCAGAACATATATGCACCAGAACAGCAACACCAGAACATCTATGTGCCAGAAGAGCAACATCAGAACACGCGCATGTCTGGTCTGTTTGAAAAACAAACTGAGACTGACTTGAGGACGCAGAGCACTACATCGGCAGCTTCATCTTACGGAATGACCTTTTCTTTAGTATGTGTGCGATATCTCCTCACTTTCATCTGTATTGGGGGGCACGGGTGGTCCAGTCGTCAAAGGCGCAGCGATTCGCTGTGCAGAGTTGCGTCCCTTAGGCACGCCAGAAACCTATGATTGTGGGCTCGAATCCCGGTTCGCCCCGATTATGTTTCTAGGTTTGTCAGCACCATACCCGTGCTCGTGGGTTTCACTGAATTGGTAAACGTCTAAGACCTGCATCACTTCGATCTTTCCTCCAACATTAAGCTGACACGCCGTGATATGACTGGAATACTGTTAAAAGCGGCTTTAAACCCAACTCACTCACTCATCTGAACATCTATACACAAGATCAGCAACTCCAGAACATATATGCACCAGACCAGCAACGCCGGAACATCTATGCACAGAACCAGAAGAGCAACACCAGAACATCTATGTACCAGAACCAGAACAGCAACACCAGAACACCTATGTACCAGAACAGCAACACCAGAACACATATGTACCAGAACATCAACACCAGAACACCTATTAACCAGAACAGCAACATCAGAACATATATGCACCAAACAGCAACACCGGAACATCTATGTACCAGAAAAGCAACACCAGAACATATATGCACCAGACCAGCAACACCAGAACACCTATCAACCAGAACAGCAACACCAGAACATCTATGTACCAGAACCAGAACAGCCACACCAGAACACCTATGTACCAGAAGCAGAACAGCAACACCAGAACATATATGTCTAAACAGCAACACCAGAACATATTTGTACCAAACAGCAACACCAGAACATCTTTGTACCAGAACAGCAACACCAGAACATATATGTACCAAACAGCAACACCAGAACATATATGTACCAAACAGCAACACCAGAACATCTTTGTACCAGAACAGCAAGACCAGAACATCTATGCACCCGACCAGCAACACCAGAACATCTATGCACCAGAACAGCAACACCATAACACCCATGCGCTAGAACAGCAATGCCGGGACACCACAGCTAAAACCATGCTATAAAATCAATGTCGGCACATAAATACATATCATCTATGCCAGATGTATAACAAAACATACTTATCAGGGCATTCTCGGAAACCAGTTCCAGTGTGTTGGACCTGCATTGTTCCTCCATGTGTACGGTTATTAACTCTGAACCAGCTCTACAATTCACACATGAATCCCCCGCAATTCTACCCACCTGCAAATAAGTAATTCTACAGAAAATGAGACCTCCGCTGTCACATATGTTACATCATATAATTAAACAAGTCTGTGATATTCAATTTTTATTCATTGCATAGATCAGTGATGAATATTGTGCTACACAACACTCCTAGTTATAAACCATGACGGTTGACGTTTGATAAGATGTGGTTGGATTTCAAGCCAAGAAGAGTTACTTCCCTTCGATCGTATATTTTTTTCCTTTAACGTCACAAATGCAATGTTCTTATGGCACCAATCGGAAACCGATTTCGTATCAATATACGTATGACTAATGAAGAGTTGGAAGATACATAAACGCAATACGGTTGACATTAAAGTCACTCTAAATGAGTAGAACTGAAGAGATCACAGTTACTATCGGATGTGCCCCCTATTGTCTTCAACACACGCCCGCCCACGACACCCTGTAGAGTTAGACGTCGGATCACGTCAAGCTGTGATCACGATATTGCTGGAATATTGGAAAAAACCAATATATTCCAGATGTGGTGCAAAGACGTAGGGAAGCATTATCTGTTGGCAAAAGTGGCTTATATATCAGAGAACGTATTTTTATCAAATACTTACACCGCTGATCAGTACGTACTTCCATCTGCTCTTTTTCTGGAATGAAGTCAGGATGAGGCAGAGATGTCTCACGGCTTGGGGCGTCAACCGAGGGGTTTAAGAAAGCGTAGACTAACACCTGATACTGCAGTGATCTAGACTTGCCAAACATTATAGACTTTCATGGGCTGTATTTGATATATATTTCTATCAGGGTCTGTAAGACAGACTAAAGAAAGCGTTGTGCTATTAAGTGTATATTCGTATGAAACTAGTTTCCGAAGGGGTCAGTTTGATTTTGAAAGTGTAATATGAAATTAATGAATGTTAGTTTGTTTTAAATTCCGTATATGTACAGAAGTCATTTCAGAAGAAAAAAATAATAACATATCCCATGTCAAAGTCACCAAGGTGGGGTTCGAAAACGTATGCGCACTGATGTTGTTTGCTCTCGTAAAGTTTCACGGGTGAAAGGGAAGTGGAGTTATCTCCCTTACATTAACAGTCGCGTTGGGTACCTGAGTTATTTGTTGAGGCAAAACAAGGCTACAGTCTAACACATCCGGGTGACACCTGCAGCTATTGTAATCCACATTATGAATAATTGTTTCAACATTAACACCGATTTCTAATACAAATATAGAAGATAATATCACATAATATTTCCGTAAATACCCAGTTCAGTACGTATATTGTTTATTTGTTGTTTAACGACGCAATATTCCTTATATATGACGGCGGTCTGTATATAATCGAGTCTGGACCAGACAATCCAGTGATTGACATCGTCAGCATCGTTCCACGCAATTGGGATACGATGACAAGTATCAACCAAGTCAGCGAGTCTAACCACCCGATCCCGTTAGTCGCTTCTTACGACAAGCATAGTCGCCTCTTACGGCAAGCATATGTTGCCGAAGAGCATCGTATTGTCACGGGCATAATATGATCATTTATCATATAATGGGTAGGTTTCTGGGCAGGATAAAGCCAACGGATAAAAACGATATCCGTTGGGGTCATATCCGGATAGATATCACGTAGTGACTACTTTCAGTGTTTATAAACAAACATTGCGTCGCCCTTGTCATTCGGCAATCGAGTCAGAATTAACCATCGGGAATCTGGATAAACTACAGAGATAATTGATATCATTATCAAAAGAACAATCTAATATACTTAAAATCAGTGTCTAACTGTGACGTCGCTAAGGCATTTTATAGGTTTTGGCAATTTTGGAGATATACGAACACAATTTTGCGAGGGCACTAGGCCTATCCAAGCGGGATCAGTAGCCATATCTGTGCTTGTAGACCTCTGCGGCTTGAAACCTTTTCCACAAATTAAAATAGTTGGATTTGGCCGAAATATGTTTGACTTTTTGCCTTGTTTCGTTTTGTCGCGGTGTGTACATCTGTTTGCACTTCTTAACGTTATGACAGGACAGGCCGACTGTCAAAAACGTCTGATCGTGGCCATGACGTCTCATAGACTAGGGTTAGAGTAGTTTCCCTTTGACAAAGGGCAGTAACTCTAGCAGACAGACCGATGGATTGCTGCGAAATGCAAGTAAAAACAATTGTTGTTTTGCGTATATGTTGCTTCGCCACTGTATAAGAAACAGATTTCAGTTGGAACTATATTGGCCACTGTCACTGTCCGACTGACACATCACTTACCCTGTGACGTAATAAATGTTAATGCGCGCATTCCAGGAAAGCTCGCAATGTTTAGGTAATGTTTGTGAGAGAGGGAAAGCGATTTTCAAGCACAGAATTAAAGAATGAAATTATATGATAAAGAGGTTATCACGCTTGTGTGTTTGGGGATGGTAAATATCCTGTATTAGGAATAAACACTATGTATTTAGCTCCCCAAACACACTCGCGTGATAACCTCTATATCTTGAACTGTTCTCCAAAGAACATTGTCAGAAGATATTTCACGACAAACTCTAGACATTCCAAATACAGACATCGTCTAAAACAGATTAATGTTTCAAGATGCCATGAAGCGGCCAGGGGATAAGGATGGTCTGAACCAGTCTACATGTTATTAAGTAATAGGTATTAATCACAAAATTAAAGGCAGCCACTTCAAGGAATATGAACTCGTTATTTTATTTTATTTTGAAACGATGTATTTTATTCTAGGCATTATGTTGGAGTTTAAAGACTCACTAAAATATCGCAAACGTTCTCCAAAGAACATTTTTAGAAGATATTTTACGACAAACTCAAGACATTCCAAATACAGACATCGTCTAAAACAGATTAATGTTTCAAGATGCCATGAAGCGGCCAGAGGATAAGGATGGTCTGAACCAGTCTACATGTTATTAAGTAATAGGTATTAATCACAAAATTAAAGGCAGCCACTTCAAGGAATATGAACTCGTTATTTTATTTTATTTTGAAACGATGTATTTTATTCTAGGCATTATGTTGGAGTTTAAAGACTCACTAAAATATCGCAAACGTTCTCCAAAGAACATTTTTAGAAGATATTTTACGACAAACTCAAGACATTCCAAATACAGACATCGTCTAAAACAGATTAATGTTTCAAGATGCCATGAAGCGGCCAGAGGATAAGGATGGTCTGAACCAGTCTACATGTTATTAAGTAATACGTATTAATCACAAAATTAAAGGCAGCCACTTCAAGGAATATGAACTCGTTATTTTATTTTATTTTGAAACGATGTATTTTATTCTAGGCATTATGTTGGAGTTTAAAGACTCACTAAAATATCGCAAACGTTCTCCAAAGAACATTTTTAGAAGATATTTTACGACAAACTCAAGACATTCCAAATACAGACATCGTCTAAAACAGATTAATGTTTCAAGATGCCATGAAGCGGCCAGAGGATAAGGATGGTCTGAACCAGTCTACATGTTATTAAGTAATACGTATTAATCACAAAATTAAAGGCAGCCACTTCAAGGAATATGAACTCGTTATTTTGTTTTCTTTTGAAACGATGTATTTTATTCTAGGCATTATGTTGGAGTTAAAAGACTCACTAAAATATCGCAAACGTATTGTGTAAAGTAAATAAGATATTTTCAGAAAAAAGAAAGGCAGCTAAAAACAGCTACTCGAGATTTGCCGATATGCAGAATACTATAAAGGTCAATAATTGTTGAAGGCGAATATAAAGG